TAAAATAAAATAAAATAATACGCATTGGAAGTGATTAAAAAAATAAATAAAAACAGGAATATTTAGCTTTTGCATTTTAAATTTGCATAGTCACATAATTTATAGGCTACGGCAATAATTCACTCTGGTTGCATACAAAGTTTTTCCAAAAGATTACCATGTCCTGCTAAAGTATTAGTTTTTCTTATTTGGATTTGCTCAGTTTATTAGTAAATAACGTTATTTGTGTATATTTACGGTACAATAACAAATGAGCTGTGATGCTTTACATGTGTACATGGGGTAGACACGGAAGAAGCCTACTCAGTCTAAGCCAGTAAGCATTTCCAAGAAAAATGTGGAAACAATTGAGAAAAGTCCCAGCTCCAGTACACTGTGAGGTATTACAGGATGGTCAGGCTATACTTAGTAGTTTCTGTCTGAAAGTTATTTAGTACTTCCAGTAGATGGCGCCTAAAAGAGCAAATATCAAACCATTGTCAAAAAAGAGAAGCTTGGATAAATGAGTCCTGCAGAATTACAGGCCGATCTCAGACCTTCCCTTCATCTGTAAAATTATTGAAAAAGTTGTATTTCAACAGTTAAAAGCCTTCTTAATAATGACCAGTTTCCAGTCAGGTTTCAAAGAACATCAAGGAGACTGTTTTGGTTAAGATCTTCAGTGAAATCCAAATAAATTCAGACTTTGGAAGAACCACGGTGCGGGTATTATTGGACCTCAGTGCAATGTTTGATACTTTTGATCACCTAATCTTATTAGAGCATCTGGAAAACACTTTTTAAGTATTTCTGGTACCGTACTGGACTGGTTTAAATCCAACCTGAAGGACAGGGCCTTCTATGTGATAGTAGGAAACTTAAATCAGATAGCAGAAAAGAAATCCAATGCAGTGTTCCTCAAAGCTCCCTTCTGGTCCCAACTGAATAAAGTTTCAACAAAGGAATAAATACAAAACTAAGGTGATCATTTTCCGACCATAGGACAGATCCAGTTAGCTCACCGCTTCAGCTGCTTCAGCTAAAATCCACTGATTATGGCCGAAATCTAGGTGTTATGATGGACTCAGTCAGACCTGAACCTTCAGAGGCACGAAAAGGCAGCTACTAAGTCAGCATTTTATCCCCTGAAGAACATTTCCAGGATTGAAGAACTAATGTCGAAGCAGGATCTAGAAAAACTCATTCATGCATTTTGTAGAATTGATCACTGCAACAGAAAGCTGATCCAAACTTTTTTGCACCAAGAACTAGAACCACAAAAAAGAGAAGCAGCATTTGGTTCCTATGTTCCATTGATCTGAAACAAACTCCCAGAAGACTGTAAGTGCTGTTAAAGCAGTTTAAGGTTGTGGTTCCACAGTTTTTTTTTGTTTCACAACCTGCTTTTATCACGTTTTATGTGTTTATTATATGTTTATTATGCACCTGTTTTCCTTCTATTTTGTTTTTTAATTCATGTAAAGCATTTTGAATTGTCTTTGTACTGAATTGCACTATATAAATAAACTTGCCTTACACATCTGTTTATGTCTGCTGTTTGCTCCCAGTTCTGGAATTCTATTTAGGCTCAAAACACTATCAGGATGAGGAATTGGTTAAGGCCTATATCACCATATTATATTAATAATTACATTTTTTGTATATCTGTTTTTTTTTCTGTATGTCTGCTACTGTCCCATCAGCAGATGTCTGCTCACACTAAGCTTATTCCTGTTAAAAGGGAGTTTTCCTCTCCACCGTCTCCACAAGCATGCTTAGTGTGAGGGATTGCCTTTGAGTCAATGAGTCGATGCAATCAGCTGGTTTTCCTTATGTAGAAAACTTTGAACTAGTCTGACTGTATGATCTGGTTGAACTGACTCTGTAAAGTGACTTAGATAACGTGTTGTGAATTGGCGCTATATAAATAAACTGAATTAAATTGTAACTGCATTTTACGTGACTATGCACCTTTAATAAAATGGAAACCTCAAAGTATTTTATCAGGATCTTAGATAGAAGGGCCACCCTGTTAAAAGAAATTAAAAATATATACATTTCAAATGTTTTATGCGATTAAAATCTGATAGGTGTGGCATTGGTTTGTCAATACATGAGTCAAAACTTTACGAGAGCTGGAACTTCTGGAGAAGAACTGAATTTCCACACAAGTTTCATGTTTCTTTCCAGGTTTTCTTCCATGATCACCATTAATTTAACATCTAGTTATATCAAAACATTTTAATCATATTTTCCACATCATGATGCTGCCACCACCATGAAACGTGTTAGTTCATCAACATGGCTACTGATACATGGGCAGGATTGGAGCACCTTCTCCTAAACAGCTTATCTCTTACCCACTTTGTGTGTGGTTCTGACGTTACTCTACAGGGTACTATCACTGCTGAAAGTGGCTAAATAGATGTTTTCTCATATAATTTATCTTTATAATTGGAAATAAAATAAAAAAATAGTTTTAAGTAGTAAGAAAAGTAGTTGCCACCATCAGTGTGTGAGTGAATGGGTGAATGACTGAATGTAGTGTAAAACACTTTGGTCGTCCTCTGACTTGAAAAAGCGCTATAAAAGTACAGGACATTAAGCATTTCAAATACATTTTTTTCATATATATTTAAAAATAAAGATTTTACTTTTTATGCTTTGAAATGTTTTTCTTTTTTTTTCTTTTACAGATTTCATATTTTCAATTATTTTTTAGTCAAAGTTTGAGTTTTACAAACTGCATTCTTCCATTGAAGCCCAAGAAAAATGCTCACCCTTAATAAGCACATTTACCAAAACAACATTGCTGCAAACGTCCATGCAGACCAAGAGTAAAAAAAATTAAAAAGTTTAAGATCTACCGGTATTGTAATTTTTGTTTTATGTGTAAAATTTGAAAAACAAGTTTTTTGGACAAAATAAAAAAGGAAAACTTGAGAAATAATCTATGAAAAAAGGATTTGAAAAAATGTTTTCGGTTGAAAACTTTTTAAATTTTAGATCAGGATTGCTTTTTTTATATATATATAACAGGTTCTTTGCGTGCAATAATAATTAAACAAAATTCACTCCATAAGGCCATTAATCTAAACCCCATGCTCTCATTAGTAAGTGAAATGTGGTCTGCTGGCACCAACTGATCATTTCTCATGTTTTGGTCACCTACAGTTGCTGCAGCATTGTTCGGCTCTTCCTGAAGCACCTTCCTCAGGTCTTTAGAGGCCATTTCAAAGTTGCCAATATGATTGTAAACAGTAGCACGCCGCAGAAGGGCTGATTTAAAAAAAAACAAAGTACATAAATTAGAAATGCAAACCAATCTAATTCAATTAAGCTTCAAACATGTATGCAAAATCCTCCAGATTTAGAAGTCTTAAAAACAGAGCACCTTTTTTATTCCCTGGTTCCAGCTCCAGCACCTGCTGACAGTCTATCATGGCATCGTTCCAGTGCTCCAGGTTAATCTCTGCCTGGGCTCTGTTGTTATATGCACTCAGAGTGGGAATGATGGAAAGGCTCCTGTAACAAAACAAAACAAAACCACTGCTTACCAATGAGTTTAGTGCACACAGATTAAACCGGGAGTTTTTAATACATCACATAAAAAGATAGAAAACCTTTTTTTAAATAAACCGGACTAAACTTTTATATTTTATTTGTTGGTAAAAATACCAAATTTGGTTTTATGTAATTAATGTCAGAATAATAATAATAATAATAATAATAATAATAATAATAATAATAATAGTTATTTTGAGGCTTCATTGCTTTTCTCAAAATCAAAACTTCACAAAAGTTTTTTTCATTTTTAGTAAAACCGCCTTCTTAAACTGTATAACCTGATTCAAACTTTTCTTCCACAAGCCTCTAACACTGATTTCCTCCGCTGATAAAACTGGTGTAGCTAACCACTTTTCTAGGCTATACTTTTTTGTAGCACTTTGGAAAAACCAGTTAGCCTGAGAGCAAGCCGTAGTTTCTCAGGATGATTTCCTGAGATGTGGCCGCAGCATTTCCAGGTAATGTTAATCCCACAGTCGTCCTCAGTCTTGCAAGCTTACCAGGATTTTTCTTCCAACCGTAGGAATGGACATTATGGCTGGAGACTTATTTTAGTTTCATTAAACCACAGGATATCACTCCATACATGTACCCCTTTGTCCCCGTCATCACTGAGATGTTGTTTTTATATGTTACTGTTGAAGAGAAAGCTTCCTTATATCTGAGATAGCTTCTTTATGTCTGAGTGGCCTTTCAGGCTTCATCAGACATTTTCCTATGTAGGATAATGATCAGCTTCTTCATAAGGCCATCTGCTTTAGTTTTAAAGTTGATCATCAAGTCTGAGACATTAATGCCCGCCTCCAGGATGACACAACAACTACTTTCTTGATAGAGTTAGGTCTGTTTTTTAGTGTTTAGTCCTCTTTCTCATTCTGTTTCTCTCCTAGACATTTCTATAGACTTTTGCTGTCACTAACAGCATGTGTCATCATTATTGAAATGAAAAGCTGCCCAGAGATTATCTGCCTAATTGTTTCCTAGACAGAACCTCCTGTGGAGCTAGTTGAAGTTACCTCTACTTCATTTTAAACCCCCAGTCAGCCTCAACATACGGTTTCTAACAATGTATCTGGTTCTGCTGGAGGTTTCTTCCTGTTAAAATGGGAGTTGTTCCTCTCCACTGTTACTGCATGCATGAATGGTGTGAGGGATTGCTGCAGAGTACATACAGCCAGGCATACACTGTGCGATATTTTTAATTTATGGCACGCAGCTACAACTCAAAGCGTTCAACGAAACCGCAGGTTTAAAAAGTTCACAGCTCACAATATATGTTATCACACTGTGCGGCCCGACGCTCTGATGCGATCTACATGCTCACTCTGCACGCCCATAAACCACATGTAGGATTGAGTACCGAGAGATGCCGCTGACCAGACTCATCAATCTGGAAGAAGAAGGACTCCCTTGTTTGCACATGCTCAAGGTTCTGGTAAATCAGCTCATAGCTCTGCTTCAACAGCAGGATTTTCCCACGGCCACCTTATGACCGCTGACTAAATTTCAAACATGTTTGATTTTCTCCCGACCTTACGATTCCTCATCGGGAGGTGGTCATAAGAGGCTAATCGCCCCTCGTCACGCCCTGTATATTACATGACGCAAGGTGAGGCTTAAACTCGGCTCGATCGAAAAATTCTCGCACGACTGGAGAATCGGCCCAAAAAAATGTACAGTGTGAATATCTACTATCGCCACATGTTTATCGAGGAGGAGCGGATCCTACAAAGTCAATGACTGGATACAATCTGCTGGTTTTCTTTAAATAGAAAACTTTGAACCAACCTGACAGTATGATTGAACTCTTAAAGTACCTTTAGATAACGTGTTTTAAATTGGTGCAAGAAATAACGTGATTTAAATCAGAGCACATCTCCTTTATAAACAATATGATGGCCTGACAGTCCTACGTGGCTCTTTTATTACTTATAACTCAAGGATAGAGACTTATAACTTGAGTTCAATACAGGAACGCATCACTTTCCTACACTTTAGGACTGTAGCCATACATGAGAAGACTTGAGGAAATGTGAGAAATTTGTTTATTTCTCATCTTTCCAATGGTGTCAATAAAGGATGTGGAGGGTTTTATAGGTGTTGTCAACCACAAGTGTTTGGCTGATGGAACCAGATTTTCTCCGTATTCTGGATTTTTATATATAGCAAAAATTGTGTTCATTTTTAATGGACCTATAAGAGAAAAACCTAAAAGAGATTTTAACTTTAGACTTATTTATTCAGCGCCATTTAAAAACACCTCATCTGAAGGCACTTCGTTCACCAGATCATACAGTCAAATTGACTCAAAGTTTTCTATCTAAGGAAAACCAGTTGATTGCATCGACTCATTGATTCGAAGGCAATCCCTCACACTAAGCATGCTTGTAGCGACAGTGGAGAGGAAATACTCCTTTTTAACAGGAAGAAACCTCCAGCAGAACCAGGCTCAGTGTGAGCGGCCATCTGCTGAGGCCGACTGGGGTTCAAGGAGACAGAAGAAACTGTAAAAGGCGGCCCCGTCCAGGAAACACCCAGCCAGGCAGACGAGCTCTGAACCAGCTCCCATGTCAGAGGATGAGAGAGCACAATAGTTTATATCCCTTCTTATATTGTGTTTGTAAACTTCTAATTTTGACTGCATCAATTTCAGTTAATAAAAAATATTAAGTAGGGAATAAAATCTAATCCCATTTACTCAAATAAAACATTATTTGTCAGCGCTTTGTAGAATAGGGAGGTTCTTTATGGCGCTAGTGGAACCTGACCTTTGGTAGTAAGCCACCGCCTCTTCATAATCTTTTGCTCTGAAAGCTTCATTGCCTTTATCCTTCTCCCGATTTGCCAGAAGGAGCTTCTCCTGCCGTGACAGACCTGGATCACACAGCAAACACATTTCACACAGACACTCAACAGCATGAACACCACATGAATCTGCAAGAATGACACATTACATGAGGAATCCACTTCTCTCTGGATGTTCGGATGTCCTGTGTTTAGAATGGCAGGTGGGTCATTTTTCTGCATATCCCCATCTATCTTGTTGCATTCCTCCTCAACATTGAACCTGGAAATAGAAACATTCCATCATTACATTGAGGCATCTTTATGTTTAGAGGTGAAGGTGCAGAGAAATGGCTCACTTGTCCCATTCCTGATAATCCCGAGGAAGAACACGTTTTGAAGGATTTGTTCTTTGTTTTGGAAATGATTTCTGAAGCAAAAAAGCAGCTTTTTAATTTAAAATGTATGTAAATATATATACGCTGCACATTAGTTAAAATGAACTTACCTCTTTAACCGGAGCAAAGCACCTGGAACTTCTTACTGGAGGTATTTTTGCTCTGTCCAGGTCATCAAACACAGACTCCTGTTTAAGCAGCGTTTCAGCGTTTTTGGTCTCCTCCTCCCATGTCTGCCAAAAAAACAAATGAACAAAAAAAAAAAAAGAAACTCATAACATTATGTTTATGGTAGAAAAATATTCTTCATAAAGCATTAAAACCACAACATGCTGAGTATCATACCCTTAAGTCATCAATGATTTGGTTCCACTCATCTTTAGAGAAGCTGGCCTCTGTGGCAACAGGAACTCCCTGCCTGAGAGCTCGACTCTTAGGGCTCAACTTCTCCAGGTGGCTTTCACAGAACTTGATCAGATGGGGATATATTCCCTCTTCACCAGACCTTGGGATGAAATAAATCCTACATTATCAGACTCAAATCTATCCGGTCAATATTGCTCATCTATTCTAAAATGATTTATTAATAAACAGTAGAACCTGTATGGTCAAACTGACGGTGGAAACAACCTCTAAAAGCTGTTCTCTGTACAACATCATCCTGCTTAATTAACTGTTCGCTCCTTTGCCAACGCAGGATGGGAATTGAAGCCACAACTTTCTGATTAGGAGTCGACTACTTTTACCGACGCCCCGAAATTATTCAATTCAATTC